AAAGCCCTAGTTTTACTCATTACATAGTCAAGGCAAGACATTTCTTGCTACTCACTCTTTTCCTCCTGAACAAGAGCTTCTTCAAGAACCCTAACCCTTGCCTCTTTCTCGGTACAATCGCCATCTTCTCACCTTTAGCCTTCACTGGCTCGTACACGATCAAGGCATTGTAGTTTTTACCATCACCATGAGTATTATCATCCTCTGCTTTGTTGTAGGATGAATCTTTTGCCACTGAGTCTTCTATATTGTCTCGGAGAGAAGGTCTTTTGTGTAGAAACTTCATTGTGCTGCTTGTTTCAGTTGTAGATAATGCTCTTAGTTGCTTCCGTAAATTGGTGATCGTTTCTTGACACTCTGATAACTTCACAGAAGCTTCTGCTATATCCCATCTCTGCAAAGAAAACTCCATCACCATCATCAAGAAACACTCATGAACCAACAAATTTTGATGTTTTAGTATGTGAATCTTTCTACTCACGTTTTTGTTTCTCTGCATCGGTTTCTTCGTTTCAACACTGCAAAAAAAAAAAAAACTCATAGAAAAGTGATGAGTTTTTTTTTGTAACAAAAGGAAGAAATGTAGAGGCTTTAGATGTGAATATGGTTACCTTTCTAGCTGAAGTTGAAGCTCGATGCAAGTCCCTTCGAGTTCTTCACAACAACTCTTTCTGTAATCAAATTCTACTTCAAGAGAAGACAACTTCTTCTGTGTCTCGTTGAGGTTAGCTCTGGTTATGTTCAGCTTTGTATCGAGATCTTCCTTCATCGATTTCTCCGTTTCCATCTCTGCCTCTACCGTTTCCTTACTCTCTCTCAACGCTTTGATCTCTGCTTTTAAGTTTCTGATCTTCTCCTCTGCATCTTTAAGCTTATCTCTCAGTTCTTGCTTCTCATCACACTCAATCTTCTCCACTTTATCATCTTCTGTTATCAGTTTTGGCGTACTGAGACCCAAATGTCTCTTGATCTGATCCTTAGTCATTGGACCTGATTCAGATTTCCATGTGATGCAGAGAGGATCTTCTTCAGCTTTCTTGGTCTTTGCATCATCATCCATACATCCTAAAGCAATCTTGATGTCTTGTAATAGATCTTTAACACCGCGTTTCGATATCCTCTCTTGCTTCGATATAGCGCTCAAGACTACTTGAATCCAATCAAAAGATGCTTCATTTTCATCATCCCTTCTTGGATCTTTCTCAGTACACACAATGGCTAGCTTCTCCATCTCATTGAAATCATCCATCAGTAACTTCATCTCCTTTGAACCAGAAGGGCTAATCACGCTACTTTCGCTTCTAATATCGAAACTTGAAACATCTAACGGTTTTTGCCCGCGGCTAAGATCTTTAATCTCCATGTTTTTCTTCATAATTATGTCCATTAGATTCTTGTTCTCTGCCCTAACATTCCCAATCTGCTCCATCAACAACTCATACTTAAGCTTCCGGCTCTGAA